CGTCGTCTTCTGCCATATCCCCGCCGTGCATTCGCCGTCTACCGTCGTGTCTCCGCCGTCTCATCAGTTCCGGTTCTTGTGTGGGAGTGGGTCGTTCGGTCGTTCGGTCGTTTGGTCAGTTCTTCCAGCTCGTTCGGTCATTCTTCCTCTTCCTCTGCCCGGTTGAAGCCAGCGTCGCCGTCCATTGTCGCCACCGCCTCCTGCCGTGTCATCTCCGGTTCTTGTGTGGGAGTGGGTGGCTTGTGGCCGTTCGTTCAGATCCTCCATAGATCGTTCGGTTGTCGCTCTTCTCCCTCTGTTCGGTTGCATTCCAGGGTCGCCGTCCGTTGTCACCGCCGTCTCCCGCCGTGTCTCCGCCGTGTTCCACCGTCTCCTCTGTTCTGGTTCTTTTGGACTGTGGCCGTTCGTTCAGCTCCGAAGAAACACTGCTGGGTTGTTCGTTTGATCATTTCTTCCTCTCTTCGGTTGCAGGGTAGTCCGTCCGTTTGATCCGCCGCCGACCGTGTTGCTCCTAATCCACAAGTCTCGTTCGTTCAGCTGGTAAGAGATACATGTTTTTGGTCCTAGATCTGCTGGTGTTCGATTCATGTTGTTGGCTGCCATTGGTAGATAAGTCGGACCCATAGCGTTATTAATTTTAAAAGTGTTGATCTGATGTTCTTGCTCTTGATCTGATGCTCTTGCAATTAATGTGGCCTGGCTGTCGAATGGTAGTAGTGTAGTAGGAAAAACTGATGGTAGTATGACCTGGTAGTATCGTAGGAGGCAGAACCGCTGGTCTTTGATTCTTCTGATGATGATTTGTAGTTCTGAGTACCCCTTTCCTGTTAAATATTTGTGACAAGCTCCGAAAAGTTGGCGTTTTTTTAGTTTGAAAATGTGAAGATCAGTGTTTCAATTAATGTGGCGCTTATTTTTAGTCCGAAAATGTGAAGGTTATAATTCATAAATATTATATATATTAGATATTTCCTCTCATATTTATTTACAAGAGAAACATAAAAAGAATTTTGAAACATAAATATCTGATATTTTTTAGGTGTCTGCCTCTCGGGAAGTTGTTTGTAAAGTGCCTCTAATTTAAGATTGTTGAATTTGTATAATATTTCTGCATTGTTGGAAGAAAAGTGCTCTGGTTCACTGTAACTCCCTTTTGCATTCTTGATTGACATTTTTCAATAGAATTATGAACAAAGATAAAGGTAAGGCAACATGGGATACAAGCACCACAGAGGTGTTACTTAAAGAATGCATGGAGCAAATCTACCGGAAAAATCGTCAAGGAACATCTTTTCAAAGACTGGGTGGAACAACATTCATTCTGCATTCAATGCAAAAACAGGAAAATCATATGAGAGGAAGCAATTGAAAAATAGGCTTGATAGCTTGAGGAAGGAGTGGAGGACATGGGTTGATTTGAACAAAGAAACTGGTGTAGGTTGGGACCCTATAAACAATACAGTGGTGGCAACAAATGAGTGGTGGGAGAAGAAAAAACTGGTATATAATTGTTGATCTTGAGTTATGAACTGTGTTATTACTTGTTATAGGCTTTTTATTTTTGTTGATTGTATTCTTGCAGGAGAATCCCCAGTATGAAAAGTTTAGGTACCAGGGGTTAAAGTTTGCTCATGAATTAAACACGATATTCAAGGGTGTGATAGCATCTGGAGAGGATATGTTGGCACCGTCTTTAACCCAACCTCAGATACAAGAGGATGATGAAGAGAATGTGTATAGAGTTAATACAGATCTCCTTGAAGGATCGGGGGATAGCGAAGAAGATCTTGGAGGTGCTAGTATAGGAGTTACGGATGAGATGGCAGGCGTAAACTTAACAGCAAATACTGCACCTAGTGGTTCAGGAAGCCATGGGAAGAGGAAGAGAGGTGAAGGGTCTAGCAGGCAAACAAAGCAAAAACTTCCAGCCTCAAGACAAATAGCGGATTCAGTTAGTGAAATAGCTACTGCATCTAAGGATAGAGCTGCAACTCTTAAGAAAATAAAAGAGGTATCAATTTCTGAGGTTACGGCCGAAGTGCTCTGCCTTGAGGAAATTACAAGTGACTCTGATTTCCGGAACCGGTGCTTAAGACTTCTGTTGCACAAGAGTGTTCGGGAAATGGTTGTTTCACTAAAAGGACAGCCAGAATACTTGGTTGCATGGCTACAGGATATGGCATACAATCCACCATCATGGCTGAAACCCCCGCCTGCTTGAACTATATTTTAGGACGAATGTTATGATTTTATTTTGTCTAACTCGGACCAGAGTTGTTATTATATGTTTTTCAGTTAATGTTTGTGGAACTATGAAATTATGTAACTTGTTAACTGACTATGAATGTTTTAAATGTTTTTAAGTTACATGTGTTATTTATAATGGTAATTGCCCAGTATGAAAAGTTTTGGACTAATTTTTATGTCTTTGCATGTTTAACAGAAAGAAATATTTATTTGCACATACGTAAAAATATTTCTTTGTCGTTTAAAAAAATTCTTACAGTTGAATTTAACCACACTCACAGGTGACATTATCTATGGCAAATTGGAACAATCAATTTACGTTTGACTGGATGGAGGAAGATGAACAGTCTGAAGAGGAGTCAGAGGAAGATGAACAGTCTCAATTGATTTCCCTTTTAGATGAAGAGATAACACAATATGAAGAGGTAGCTGTATTGGTGAGTCAATATGTGATGCCTTATGTGTGCAAAGAGCCACGAAGAACTAGTCAGCAAACAGGTAATTTATGGGTGCAAGAAATTTTGCGAGATCATGAAATTCGGTGTTATGACATGTTTCGAATGGAAAAAGAAATGTTCATGCGATTATGCTCTAAACTGGTCGAACATGGTTTAAAAAATTCCAAGTATCTGGGAGTGGAAGAAATTGTTGGTATGTTTTTGAACACGGTTGGTCATGGCCAATGTAATAGGATGATTCAAGAAAGGTTTCAACATTCAGGAGAAACTGTAAGCAGGCATTTTCATAGAGTATTACAGGCTTGCCTTAGTCTTTCCAGGGAATATATCAAACCACTCGATCCTACGTTTTCTGTAACTCACCCAAAAATAAAAAACGATAAACGATATTCGCCATATTTCAATGATGCAATAGGAGCAATTGATGGCACTCATGTACGATGTGTGGTGAGTCTTTCGAAGCAAGACAAATATATCGGGAGAAAGGGATATCCGACACAGAATGTTATGGCTGTATGTGATTGGGACATGTGCTTCACTTTTGTGTTAGCGGGATGGGAAGGTACTGCACATGATGCTCGTGTGTTTAACACTGCTGTCTCAACTCCAGCCTTGGATTTCCCTCATCCACCTCCAGGTATATTTTCAGTAACTTCAATTTTAATTATATCAAATTCATTTGATATTTTCATTAATTTCACAATGTCAACATAATTTCATGATTTATTAGGGAAGTATTATTTGGTCGATGCTGGCTATCCAACTCCACCAGGATATCTTGGTCCATACAGATGTGAGCGCTATCACCTTCCAGACTTCAGGCGACAACCGGGATTTGAAAATTATAACGAAGTCTTCAATTACTACCATTCAAGTTTGAGGTGCACTATAGAAAGGACTTTTGGGGTGTGGAAGAATAAGTTTCGCATCTTAGAGAAGATGCCAAGTTACAAGTATAAAACTCAAGTCCAAGTAGTTTGTGCTACAATGGCTATACATAATTTCCTCCGAAGAAATTCTGAAACTGATAAAGATTTCATAGAAGCTCAATCTGAAGGTACAATTGACGAAGACAATCATGATGAAGCTGGTGAGACATCCTCTTCAAATTTACCTAGATCAAGACAAATGAATCATGTGCGTGACACAATCAGAGACCAAATTGTATTGAGCATGGCATCCAATTAGTTATTTGATGTATTTAGTTTAAAAATGCTACGTATGTATGACCTCTAATTTACATATTTATCCATTACATATATTTAATTAAGTTTTTTATTATTTTTCAATTTCCTTCTAGTAATAACTTAATTTTTTTTTTTTTTAATAAATTTTTTTCCAATACTTCTTTTAAAATGGTCACATTATATATATAATTTCTTTATAACAATAAATTAAATTTCCTTATTTTTAATAATTTTATTTTTCATTACTTTATTTATGACAAATAGTCACATTATATATATAATTTTTTTATAATACTAAATTAAATTTCTTTACGCCCCACCAATTTTTATTTTCCTTACTTCTTCACTTTTAATAATTAAATATCTAATATTAGATATGTGCTATTTAATAGAATTCATGTCCTTTTATGTCATTTTACATTCAAACTTACTTTTACATTTATCATCCAAACAAGTTTCAGCTTCTCAAACTGACTTTTTTCTGAAACCCAATCCAAACATAAATCACATTACCCAATCTGACTTTTACTCAATCTGACTTCTGGAAAAGTCAGATTGAAAAAAAAGCTACTTCTCCACCGCCAATCCAAAGCTACTTCTGTAAACACTTTATTTTGTCCAGATCCACTAGAAAAACAAAAAAAAAAAAATTACTAAAAAATAAAATAACGATAAAAAAATATTTTTTAAAAAAATTTCCAGAAAACTATAATAAACTTTTGAAGGGCACTTTTCCTGTTACCAAACACGCCCATTATTAAAAGCAAGTTACGGTCGTGGAAATTATCTTATTAAAAGCGCGTTTGTTGCGGAAAGGGGCGAAAAAGAAAAAAAGGTTGCCTAATAAAGTGGCTCCTATCGGATCCTGACAACACAATCATGAAATTTTGACTTGCTAGTCAATGAAATTGAGATGACCAAATCATTAAAGCTTCCTCCTACTTTGTAGAATGGAAATAATGAAAAAAGAATAATAATCAAGGGTTTTGAGCATTACAAAATATATTAGAAAGAAAGTGGGTTAATTAGAGGCGTGTGTGAAAACGTGTCGTAATTAGTTATGACTTGATTTACTAGAACCCGTGCAGAAGCAGCATTGGGCAGAAAGATGGATATGCCATTTCTGAAACTGCTATTCTATCATCTCCTTCTTACCTCCTTCAATCTCGCTTCTTCTCAAGTAGACATCCCGGCTTACTATGACCACAACTGCACCATTAATAAAAACTTCTCTTCCAATGGCCCCTACGAGTTCAACCTCAACACTCTTTTGGCTTCCTTGTACGCCAAGGCCGACGGCATTGATCCGACTACTCCTGAATTCTTCAACACCACCGTTGGCACCCCAAACACGGACGAAACTGTATATGGAGAGTACATGTGCCGAGGAGACGTCCCAAGTCAGGTCTGTCGAGATTGCGTCCGGGACGCCACAAGCAGAATAGTCTCAGAGTGTCCCTACAACAAAGAGGCAATCATCTGGTACGACCAGTGCTTGCTCCGCTATTCCAACCGTTCTTTCTTCTCCATCCTCAACCAACAGCCTACAGTTATCGGGATACGATATCGAGCCCCGAAATGTAGAAAGTGCGAAGACCACGATCGAGGCAATTACAATATTAATGCAAACTCAGACGATGCAAACCCAAACGCAGAATTAAAAAAGATGTTGAAAGAAGCAGCGGTGGAGGCAGCTACATCATCAGGTACCAAGAAATTTGCAACCAAAGAAGCAAACATCAGTAGTTGGGTACGCGTGTACACTCTTGTCCAGTGCACGCCGGATCTGCCTTCACAACTCTGTAGTGAGTGTCTCAATGGCATGATCGAACTTATTCCAATCCTCTACATTGAAAGATCTGGAAGAATTCTGAATCCGAGTTGCAATTTGAGATTCGACACAGAGCGATTTTATTATAAGGGCAACCAGCCTCCCTCTGATGTTTCTCCCACTCAAGGTACGTAGTGTCACCATTTTTTTTTCCCTTGTCCCTTGTTTGCACAGCTTGATGAGAAAACCCGAGAGGAGGAGACGACGACGACGACGAGGAGATTCCCTGTATCGTCCACATATTTAATCTTTTCAGGATTTAAGATTTATGCATCTTATGTTTTTGCACATGCTGATGTATTTTTAACTGATTTTGCCTATTTTTTTAAATTGAAGACATGATTGAATTTTTAAGAACTTATTATCTGATGAAAGTAATTTTGAAAAAGAAAAAAAATTTTGTTGAAATAATTATCCATAATCATAAACATTTTGTTTCTTTTGTTAAACAGGGCTTGGGAGTCCTACTCTTATAGATTGGAACTGCTCGCCCATCGAAACCTGGAGTGCCAAAGATCCCTACCCAAACAACCTCAAAAGTCTCACCCGCCAACTCTCCAAGTTGTCCAACAACACCAAAAACAATGGATTCTATAGAATCAGCGTCGGAAACAAGTCCGACACCGTCTATGGCCTCTTCATGTGTCGGGGTGATGCGCCCCCTAAGCTTTGCAATGAATGCGTCAAGGAGGGAATCGCGAAACTAAACGACACATGTCCCACTTCTAAGGAGGCTATCATTTGGTATGATAAGTGCATGCTTCGCTATTCCAATCGCTCTTTCTTCTCTACCCTAGACACACAACCTATATATGCAGTACGTGGTGTGTATACGCTTGGAACCCAAACAGAGGGCTTCAATCGGCTATTAGCGAATACACTAAACAGTTTAGTGGCGGCGACGTTGAACTCATCACCGCATGTAGGAGTGAAAAATTTTGCAACAAAAACAGAATTCAGCCCTTCAGATTTGATAACGTTGTATACTCTTGCACAATGTACTCCGATCCTGTCTAGCCAAGATTGCAAAAAATGTCTAGGGGTTGCTCTGCAAAATATCACGTTATGTTGTCTTGGAATGAAAGGAGGACAAGTCATTAATCCTAGCTGCAACTTGAGGTTTGAATCGTACCGATTTTATAATGACAGCAAAAGTGATGCTTCGGTTCCATCTGCGCATCCCCCAAATAATAGTGGTGTTTTGGAGCCACCTGCCTATCCCCAAACTCCCAAAGTTTTAGGAAATACAGGTAATGTAATTGAGGATCTAATCATTTGTGTCACAGAGATACGTCGCTACATATAAATTGATATTCTTAATTCCCTCTCAATTTTGTGCTTACAAATCTTCTCCATTTCTTGTGTATGGCATGCAAATACACACTCATTTACTTTACGCGGGAAAAGATAACGACCACTCACGAACAATCATAATAGCGGTGTCCGTCACTACTGTGGTCTCAATCATGCTTTTTGTTTCGGCTTCTGTTACTGGAAGATTAAGAAGAGCAAGACTTATAAGGAGATTTTGAAGAAAAACTGTATGTATGCTGTTTTTTTTTAATTTCTTTTTAAAAAACAAAAACAACTCAGTCAACTGTGAGAAAAATCATATTATTGTAGTGTACTTACCCTGAAATATACTTATGTTTGTAGTTGGAAGCGAAGGAGCCACATTAGAGTCATTGCAGTTCAATTTGGCAACAATTGAAGCTGCAACAGATAAGTTCTCGATTGAAAATAGAATAGGCAAAGGTGGATTTGGAGAAGTCTACATGGTAACTTGATTATGCGTTCAAGCATATGGGTGTGTTTATATATATGTTGCATGTATATCCTAACCCCTCATATCTAACTACATCATGATTTCAGGGCATTCTTCCTGACGGTTGCAAAATAGCAGTAAAGAGATTGTCAGAAAATTCTAGTCAGGGATTATTAGAATTCAAGAATGAGGTTCTACTAATTGCCAGACTTCAACATAGAAACCTGGTGGCATTATTAGGATTTTGCTTAAAAGATCAAGAGAAAATACTTATTTATGAATACGTTCCCAACAAGAGCCTTGATTACTTTTTATTTGGTTTGTCCTTTCTAACCAAGCTCATCTTACCATTTTTCAATTTTTTTATTCATGTACGTGCTATCCATTTTTTTATTACTCTTTGAGGTGAACATATTTTTGTTGGTATAGTCATTAATTTGTTTTTAATTTAGACATAAATGTATGCGACGTATCTATCATTCATTTGTATACTCACAAAGTTATTTAATTATACATTCAGGTTCACAAAAGTCAAGAGTGTTAAATTGGTTGGAGCGTTATAAAATTATAGAAGGAATTGCTCGAGGAATTCTTTATCTCCATGAACATTCACGTCTAAAAGTAATACATCGAGATCTCAAACCTAGCAATATTTTGCTAGATGATGAAATGAATCCAAAAATTTCTGACTTTGGCATGGCAAGAATGGTTGGTATTAATGAAACTAGAGGAAACACAAATAGAATTGTTGGAACATTGTGAGTTCTCTCTCCTTTTCTAACTATCTCCCTACTTGTGCGCATGTGTGGATGTGTTTATTTGTATATTGCGTATGCACTTTACTATTGAATTTAAACATTGGTACAACATATAGTCAAATTATCTGGTTCTAAGATTCCAACAAATATATTGACATATTCATGTGTGATTTTATATATCTATTGTAGGGGCTACATGTCTCCAGAATACATTAAGTTTGGACTATTTTCTGAGAAATCAGATGTTTACAGTTTTGGAGTCATTGTCTTAGAAATTATAAGTGGAAAGAATATACACTCGCAATGTGAATCTCATGAATCTCAATATACTGGCAGACTCTTAAGTGATGTAAGTATAGCAAACTTATACTATTTCTCAAATGATCATCTCAAACCTGTCATCATTGTCATTATCATAAGCATCAACCAACCATTGAAGCTTATGTTAATAATATTCTATAATCAAATTGGTAGCAGAGCCTTTTTTTCAAGTGAATGATTTGCATCATGGCAGGCTTGGAAGCATTGGAGGGATGAAAGATTGACAGCTATATTGGATTCGAATCTGACAGAAGCTGGGTCACATGGTGAAATAATCAAATGCATCCATATCGGCTTGTTGTGTGTCCAGGGAAATCCGGGAGCAAGGCCTTCCATGAATAAAGTTATTCAATATCTGAATAATGATTCAATGCAATTGCCAATTCCTCAAGAACCAGCATTCTTCATCCACAGTCAAATGGAACCAGCAGCAACCAGTAGAGAAATGGAGGCTCCACCTGGCAACCACAATCAATATTCCATCAACAAAATGTCAGAGAGTATAATATCTCCTCGCTAGATATATTATAGGAGGCTTCAACTCTTGTTTTTATTTTCTCATTGCATAAGCATGGTCTTATTTTTAAAATATATGTGCAATAACAATTCGGTTTTTGTCTTTATTGGCCCCTTCCCTATTCGTCTGCCATCCATTATAAGAGGCTCTATCTTTGTATTTACGCAAAACTTCAATGTTGTAGATACCAAACAGAGCATTGGTGTGTTTATGAAAAAGAAGAAATAATAAGAGCCTTGACGACACTTCATTTCAGAGCATGTTGCCTCGTTTTGGTACAGTGCGTAAAAATACTTGTGCTCTAATTAACAAGGTACCAAATTGAGTCTTGGTGGGCAAGGGCAAGATAAAATAAAAGCTTTGTACCACTGATGCTACCAAATATTAAGATGTATCACAAATGTACGGGTCACAAAAATATATAGTAACAAATCAAGGTCGATCATACAAAAAACTCAAGTAACAGTGATTAGGCAATAAAAATCCTCTTTTCATTTAAATTGATAAATCAAAGTTTCATGAAATTGAGTGAAAAGAAATTAAATTAAATAAAACAGAGCTTTTTCAAATTACTAGAGCAAATATTAAAAAAACCAACCTAGAGTCACTAACCCCTTATTGGCTTCTTAAATCTCATTTCACTGAATTGATTAGTTTTAATGTCAATTTTATTGATTTAGAGTTTAATTAGTTATAAGTGGCTGTTGGTCCACTTATAACTTTCTTTTAAATTAATTTTGTAATCTCTCACAATTACTTAAGAGGCTAAACAATTCAGTCTCACTCATCAAAGTTATATAGGGCAATTAGGTATATTTCTTTCCTAATCACAAATTAGATTCTCATCTAATCCCATATTTTGAAATCCCTTTTGTTAAAGATAATTTTAATTCTCAAATTTACACTTAATGGTGGCTAATCATCAAATCGACAATAAAGAACAAGATTAAGTAACCAAAATTTAACATTAAGCATTCTGAACTCAGTAAAAACAAAATTTAATGCATTAGCAAGTTCATAGTTCCTCTATGTTGAAAAGAAAATTAGCTAAACATGAATATAACCAGTCCCAACTCTAAAGCAACAATCTCAATTGCGAAACCCATAGTGAAAATCAAAAGTAAAGGAAGCAGGAACCGGAACAGAGAAACAGGGAATCAAAATATTGCTCAGGTATAGCTCGAGTGTTCCAGCTTGAAGATGATGAACAGTTGCTCTTCTTCCTCAACTGTTAACTGACGGCATCTCTCTGTTTTCAGATCAGAAAATCACCGTGCCTAGTCTCTCCTCTCCGGCTCCGTCGAACTCGTCCTCCTCAGCTCCGATCTCTGCTACTGGATCCCTCTAGTCCAGAACCAGCATTGGCGACCTCCTCTCGTCTTTGACCTCCTCTGCTGAACCTGTCGACCGAGCCCCAAAACTTGAGAAGCAGAGCGTCAACGTCCTCCTCAAAACGCAGATTAGAAGATGAAGATCCCAGGAGATATTCCACAGTCCGAAAGGGAGCCTCCTCTCACTTCCAGTTTTCTCTCCAAGCCAGTTCGGCGCCGTCTTCACACAACCCGCCTCCCAGACGATGATGAACGGTGTCCTTAGGTATCCAAAAATGGTCGCCCCAAAACGCTGCGTCCGACCTTTCTCAGAAACGCTGTCGTCCCTCCTTCAATTCCCAAAGCCAAATTCCAATCTTTATTTCTCCAAACGGTGCGTTGATGTCTTCTTCATGAACCTCTTGTGCAGCACGTGAAAGCTGATGGAAGAGAGAAAATAAAATAAAACAAGTAAAAGAGAAAAAGCTGAAAAATAAAAGAAAAAAGGGAATAACTTACAAGAAATTGAAATACGATAAGATAAAATCAACTAAATCTTAAACCTAAAATTATTCATTTTTATTTATTTCAAACTAAGATATTTATAATAAAATCCCCCAAATAATGCTCACAATTAATTTCTTTTCAAATCTCTTTTAAATCATCCAAAATCCTATTGATAACTTTTCAAAAATCACTCAAAATATTCATTTAAGATATTTAAAATAATGAGTTATCAACTACAGATAGAATTCACTTATAGATACTCTTCCGGTTTTTAATATAAGACCCAAGTCTTGAATTGGTTTTGATTTTAAATATAATATCCATTTCTTATATTTGTCAATTTTTTCTAAATGACCCCTATGGATACTTCCTCAACCATAATCAAGTAGAAGAGGGAGAGTGGTATTAAAAAAGATGATTATGGTATTTTAAAAAAAATGTGTCATTTTTCTTATAATTAACTAACTTATCTAACTTCTTTAATTTAATCAAATTAGTTAAATGGGTTTTATATCAAGAACCGACAGATTATTTGATTAATAGATCCTTGGACTTTTGGTACCATGCTTCTTGTGGCCCTCTAGAGAGAAAGAAGGTTCTTGTGGAAATGGCAATTGAGTTGACGGGGTGTTTGGGTAACAACCCAACTATGGTTTTAAAAATGATTTTACAGTCTACGAAATAAATATGTGTGTTTCCAAACATTCCCTGAATCATTGCCAAGACATGAAACAACTGTAGCCGCAGAAGGCCTTGCTTCTGGATTTTCTTGAACACATAACAACCCAATTTGGATGCACTTGTTCACTTCGTTCAACAATTCACATTCATTTAGATTTGAATCCAAAATCTCTAATATCTTTTCTTCCTTCCATTGATTTCAAGCCCGCAACAATTTAGTAAACTTAGCTATTTTAATCATCACCCTTTTATTATTTCACACAATATTGTTCAGATAATCTCTCTCATATTTAAGACAATTACATAGGTAATATTATTTCAGGGTAATAAAATTAACTTACATTGTTTAGGAGACCATGAGATTGACTGGGAGAACTTGTGATCTTCGTTCCACTAAAAATTTCTAATACTATTACTCCAAAACTAAAAACATCTAATTTTTCTGAGTGTTGTCCAAACATTGCATACTCTAAAAACATAAAACCCCTGAAAAAAATAAAAATATCAATTATATCTTCTTTCCAATAGATAACAAGCAACACGCTTGGACATTTCAAATGAAAAAAAATGGAAGGCGAAGTTTTATATGTCAGCTGAGGCAAAAACTTTTTTTCATTTAACCATATCATGATAGATATAGATAGTTTGAAGGGAAAATCTTATAAATTACTATGTTCCAACAATTTTATTCGTACTTCCTTCAATTTCGTTGATTCCAACCATCCTAGCCATGGCAAAATCTGAAAATTTTGAATTCATTCCATCATCTAATAAAATATTGTTAGGTTCCATATCACCATGTATAATTTTAACTGGAGAATAATCATGAGGGTAAAGAATTCCTCTAGCAACTCCTCTGATAATTTTGTAACGTTCCTCCCAATTTAACACTTTGCTTCACTGAGAACCTGTACATATATAAAGCTATGGTTAATGACCAGACTGACAAATGAAATAAAGATAATTGAAAACAAGTAATTAACTTCAGCATATATGAGGCGGCAAATGTCAAATGATTAATAACAGGCATGTATATAAATTTCGACGAAGAGTTAAAATGAGTTTAGAAGAGTCTAACCAAGTCGAAAGTAGTCAAGACTTTTGTTGGGAACATGTTCATAAATGAGAATTTTCTCCTGCTCCTCTATGCAAAATCCTAGGAAGGCCGCCAAATTTCTATGCTGAAGTCTAGCTAGCCATTGTGTGGCAAAAAAAAATAATAAGAAGAATTTATACTGAATAATTATTATTTTAAAAAGATCTTGCTATCCCCGGAGTTGAAACGTAAAGCATTCCATATTAACCTTAACAGTATTTATAATGCAAGCATCTTCTTTGATACATTTAATTATGAAAAATGTTTACATACAACTGAATTAATTTAATTATAATCATTTTGACCATGTTTCATACCAACAAAATACATAAAAACACTATTCAAATTTTATATTTAAAAGAAACAATTAGATTTGTTATTATTGTCAAAAGGGGATGTAGTCACATAATCAAGATCAAATAGGGATTTTCCTGATGATGCCCAATCCGTATAACGAATGAACATGGGGGCTAAGGAATGCGTATCAAGATCAACATTATTTTTATTTGTTTTATTGATTTAATCATGTTAAATTTATTATAATAATCATAAATAAGTTTAGCAACAAGAGTTGGGTCTAGCTACAGGAACTAATCGTTGACAATATGACAAAGCAATGTTTGAATTCTCACTCGGAGAAGTGTCTACATTTGATGATTGACAATACTTAGCAAAAAAATATAAGCTTTTTTTTCAAGGAAAGAATAGAGCAAGTAATTCTTTTTTCACCAAAAAAAAAAAGAGTAAGGAAATTTGGTAGTAAAGTCGTCCGAATTAAATTAAAATCACATATATTATGAAAAACTGTCAGTTTTATGTTTTTTTTTAGTTACATATAAGTATCCTTCTATATTGATGATAATTCTATTCTATCGGGCATTAATTTGGGGTAACTCTCCCAGTAGAGATTCAAATCTCATATGTTTATATTTTTCAAATATATGTTCTAAGGTTTTTGAATTAAATTATAAAATTTTACAGATTAAATTTAAATTATTTTTTATTTAATAAAATTATATAATTAAATTAACTCAAAACTTGTGAATAAACATCTAATGTATTTTTCATAATTATTTTATTAATATATAGATTATAAATCAATAAATAAATTAAAAAGAGAAATCAAATTTAGAATCATCTTCTTCACAAAAATCAGGGCTATATTTAAATTAAGCGAGAATAATAATTTTTTTATTAAAATTAAAAAATTATTCTAGAGAAAAAAGTGAGCTAATTGTTCTAGCAAAAAAAAAAATTATTTTCAGCATGTGCAGGCTAAAAATATTTGTCTCAAAACAAGTTTTCACTCTACAAATCGAACTTACTACTATTTGACATATTGTCATACTGAGCTCGCAAACCCAATCTATATCATTATTTCCAATTCTTTGCTTTCTAAATTTCCCACA